TCATTGAAGAATAAGTCTAAGGGAGAAGGGGGGACTTTATTCATGGTATGGTGTAACATTTGGGAAGATCATATTGATAAATATTAGTTATACTTTGAGTCCAGATAGTTCAGATAAGATCACTGGGGTTATAGATGCATTATAAGAGATGTGTTTGGGAGATCTGAGAAGATTTGGTTACAAGATCAATTAGGCCAGTAGGGGCAGTGATGGGTCAGATTTTAGTTTCAGCTTTGATAACACTGTGATGTTTGTAATTTGTTACTGATCTTTGAGAAAGTTATGATATTGAGATAGGTTGGAGAGTAATTCCTGGAGACAACACTCAGATGCCGGTGTTGACTGTTCCTGATCTGGATAAAGATGGATGGACTACTGATGGATAAATATCATTTTTTTTTATGGGTTAATTATTTTTCAATTTTTTTTTTTTCAATAGTAGGGTGATGTTGGTATGATTTATGAATCAAGGGGGGGATAGGTTAATGTGATTCATACATCATTTATAGGTCATTTTTATATTCTTAAATTGATGTTGAGGTTTAATTTGAAAATGTTGTTTTGCAAAAGATACTGTTTGGTCGTTTATTTTCTTGTCATTCCAGAAGCATTTGGGAGAACATGTGGAGATTGGAATACTCAAACAAAGACAATATGAAGGGACAATATGACTGGAGGAGATGAAACAAGGAGGGTGTGGCTGATTCCATCATCAACAAGTCCATTGGAAGAGGACACTACAGGGAGATGAAGTGTAGTGGACTACATTCCAGTGTTTGCAATGAAATATAGACATGTGTAATACATAATTGTGTAATGGTCTCAGGTATTAATTTTTGTAGAATGATGTTTGATGTTATTGAATACATGGGAGGATCTTAGATGTTTTTGTTTATTTCGGTGAATGTTTAGGGACAGAGAGGCTAGGAAGGGAGAGTTTCATTGTCCGGTCCTATGGGTTGACCAGCCGTACAATGAATGTTTAGGGATAGGATTTTGTTTGCAGGGGCTTACATGTGTATTTAATTACATCATAGTTTCAAATGCATTTACATGGTTAATGAGGTTATCTGGAGTACCGACGGTGGTTGCCTGGGGCAGAGGGACCGTGGGAGAATTTTACTGTCTTGATTGATATGGATGGATGGCTGCCAGACAGTTTTTCGCTCTTACACTCCATAGAGATTTCTTCATATGTCATAGTAATGTATTCATACTTCATAAACAGTTGGTCATATGTCATAGTAATGTATTCACACTTCATAAACAGGTATTTCATAGAAAGGTATTTACACTCTAGAGGAGAATGTGTTTGGTTTAATGTTAAAGATACTCAATAAGATAAATGGTTAATAGTCATAATCTTATTCTGTTTGTTTTCGAGACGTTTATTTCGTCTCGAAAGGGGGGAATATCGTATCTGAAGATTATGCCTTTGTTAAATGTTTTGGAGGAACAAAGAATGTTGTTTTATGATCTTAGTTCAAATGTAGCGTTGGGAGGGTGATGCCCCAGGGGAGACTGGTGATTGGCCAGAAGAGGGGAGTCACTCCTCTTTTTGCATTGTTTATAAATAGGGGGTAAACGATGAGACGGCAGAACGGCCATATCAATCTGGGGAGCCGTTCTCCGGACATCGCGAGTCTGTATCTATGCTGTAAACTCGTGATTTTAATAAAAGCCTCTAACACGATGCAGCATAGCGGACTTTTTGTTGACAGCAATAATTGCCACCATTCATCATATACGACAGTTGCCTTACAACCTGGAATTAAAATAGATTTTTGGGGGGTTTGTATCATTTGATTTACGCAACATGCCTACCACTTTGAAGATGCAAAATATTTTTTTTTGTGAAACAAACAAGAAATAAGACAAAAAAACTGAAAACTTGAGCGTGCATAACTATTCACCCCCCCAAAGTCAATACTTTGTAGAGCCACCTTTTGCAGCAATTACAGCTGCAAGTCTCTTGGGGTGTGTCTGGACTTTGAGTAGGCCATTCCAAGACATTTAAATGTTTCCCCTCAAACCACTCGAGTGTTGCTTTAGCAGTATGCTTAGGGTCATTGTCCTGCTGGAAGGTGAACTTCTGTCCCAGTCTCAAATCTCTGGAAGACTGAAACAGGTTTCCCGCAATAATTTCCCTGTATTTAGTGCCATCCATCATTCCTTCAATTCTGACCAGTTTCCCAGTCCCTGTCGATGAAAAACATCCCCACAGCATGATGCAGCCACCACCATGCTTCACAGTGGGGATGGTGTTCTCGGGGTGATGAGAGGTGTTGGGTTTGCGCCAGATATAGCGTTTTCCTTGATGGCCAAAAAGCTCAATTTTAGTCTCATCTGACCAGAGTACCTTCTTCAATATGTTTGGGGAGTCTCCCACATGCCTTTTGGCGAACACCAAACATGTTTTTTTCTTTAAGCAATGGCTTTTTTCTGGCCACTCTTCCATAAAGCCCAGCTCTGTGGAGTGTACGGCTTAAAGTGGTCCTATGGACATATACTCCAATCTCTGATGTGGAGCTTTGCAGCTCCTTCAGGGTTATCTTTGGTCTATTTGTTGCCTCTCTGGTTAATGCCCTCCTTGTCTGGTCCATGAGTTTTGGTGGGCGGCCCTCTCTTGGCAGGTTTGTTGTGGTGCCATATTCTTTCAATTTTTTAATAATGGATTTAATGGTGCTCCGTGGGATGTTCAAAGTTTCAGATATTTTTTCATAACCCAACCCTGATCTGTACTTCTCCACAACTTCGTCCCTGACCTGTTTGGAGAGCTCCTTGGTCTTCATGGTGCCGCTTGCTTGGTGGTGCCCCTTGCTTAGTGGTGTTGCAGAATCTGGGGCCTTTTAGAACAGGTGTATATATACTGAGATCATGTGACACTTAGATTGCACACAGGTGGACTTTATTTAACTAATTATGTGACTTCTGAAGGTAATTGGTTGCACCAGATCTTATTTAGGGGCTTCATAGTGAAGGGGGTGAATACATATGCACGTACCACTTTTCCGTTATAGATTTTTTTGAAACAAGTTATGTTTTTCACTTCACCAATTTGGACTATTTTGTGTATGTCCATTACATGAAATCCAAATAAAAATCCATTTAAACTACACGTTGTAATGCAACAAAATAGGAGGATGAATACTTTTGCAAGGCACTGTACTCTTACTCACGGTTGTCTGACTGCCAATGTCAGTGTCCATGTGACTGCTGTAGACAGGATATCCCTTACATCCCAGAAATGTTTGATATCCTAAGTATATCATGGAATACTGAAGTGAAAAAATTATACTGAACGAAAATATAAACGCAACATGTAAAGTGTTGGTCCCATGTTTCATGAAGTGAAATAAAATATCCCAGAAATGTTCCATACCCACAAAAAGCTTATTTCTCTCAGATTCTGTGCACACATTTGTTTACATCCCTGTTAGTGAGCATTTCTCCTTTGCCAATATAATCCATCCACCTGACCGGTGTGGCATGTCAAGAAGCTGATTAAACAGCATGATCATTACACAGGTGCACCTTGTGCTGGGGACAATAAAAGGCCACTCTAAAATGTGCAGTTTTGCCACACAACACAATGCCACAGATGTCTCAAGTTTTCAGGGAGTGTGCAATTGGCATGCTGACTGGAGGAATGTCCACCAGAGCTGTTGCCAAAGAATTGAATGTTTGTTTCTCTAGCATAAACCACCTCCAACGTCGTTTTAGAGAATTTGGCAGTACGTCCAACCGGCCTCAGAACCGCAGACCATGTGTAACCACGCCAGCCCAGGACCTCCACATTTCTGCTTCTTCACCTGCGGGATCATCTGGGACCAGCCACCCCGACAGCTGATGAAACAGAGGAGTATTTCTGTCTGTAATAATGTTCTTTTGTGGGGAAAAACTCATTCTGATTGGCTGAGCCTTGCTCCCCAGTAGGTAGGCCAGTCTCCCAAGTGGGTGGGCCTATGCCCATGGCTGCGCCCCTGTCCAGTCATGTGAAATCCATAGATTAGGGCCTAATGAATTTATTTAAATTGACTGATTTCCTTATATGAACTGTAACTCAGTAAAATCGTTGAAATTGTTGCATGTTGTGTCTATATTTTTGTTCAGTATAGATCCCTCAAAGGAGAGTGAGTGTGAGCTAATCTTATCCCAGCATTGTATTCTCTGGTGCCCACATGACTAAAGCCTGGTATCAGACACTATAGGGAGCAGGCATTGTTCCTATGGTATTATGCTTCCATTGAAATCGACAGCCAGAGACATCATATCATTACTTATCGACTAAAAGACAAAAGGAAAGATGACAGAGGCAAGCTGTGACTGGACATCCTGCCCACTGAGAATGGGTCCCTGTGCACATGATTCACAGCTACTGTGTGACTATTTGAAATGTCTGATCACAGGAATCATGACACATCCATTGAGGGCATTGGTTTGGGGCATTCAAATGTTTACCAAATGACATCCTACAGTCAATTAAAATCTTTATTACTCACTTATCATGAGATTTAATGGAATAACATCATGTTTGAAAGTTTTCAAATATAAATTAAAATTGACAGTGTGTTTTGAAGTATAAGAAATCTTGGAATCATCTAAGAACAACAGGTACTGTAAGGAGAAGACAGAAATGTATATCTTACGTAATATTATTTGACAAATACAGTGTTATACAACGTGTACATCTCGGCTTCCTCCTGCAGTGGAGGAGCTCATACAGATGGCCCTTTTAGTCCACTTGTCCTAAAGACACATTTACATGTGATGATTGATGATACATGGAGATTTGGAATACTAGTAGCGACAGGGAGGGATGTGGGAAGCAGCATGCACATACCCCAAGAAATGGGCTGTCCCAGTTGTGTTACTGTAATTTACACTACTAGATGGATTAAATCGCTCAGCCCATTTCTCTACTTTTAATTTTTTTGGTTGCAGCAATGCCGATACACATCCTCACTGTTCTCTAAACCCTGTTAGTCCAGTCAGTTCTCTCAGCGGCCCACACTGATGTTGCACACCTTGCAGCTGGGGTCCTTCTTGGCGTTGGCCGTGGTCTGGCTCATCTGGTGGTGGCCACTGATCTCCAGCACACTGCCCTGCTCCAGAGACAGCGGCTCTGTGTAGAGCACCTCCAGGATGACATCACTGGCATGGCAGAACAGGGGGTCTTCCCCCTGCCTCTGGGGGGGGATGTATGTCAGGAAGGGGTTGGCAGTCAGGTCCAGCAGGGGGAGACTACTACGGCAGAAGTTATCCCCCTCTGAGCCAGCAGGGGCCAGCACCAACACCACATAGTGATAGGCTGTGTACATACAGTAGAAGTCAGCAAAGTAAAGATTGGTGTTGGGATTCAGCAGGTTCCCGGCCGGGATCTGGAAACGCAGGGGGCCGTAGGGGGAGTCGTTTGGAGGAAGACCTGTGTCAAACTCAGTGTTGCAGCTGAGGAAGACTCCCTGCAGTTTGCTGTTGATAGGTGAGCCGTGACTTCCACTATTGTCTTTCAGGGCTGGGCGCATCAGCCCCCCACACTCAGTTCTAACAGAAAAGGAGAAACATTTTGTTGTTGAACTTCACAAGTACATCCCTATACGTGTGTGTATTTACAGAGTATGGTATAGTACTTACCTGACATAGTGGAAGTAGTCAGGGTGCTGGTTGCGATAGAACACAGAGAACCGCAGCAATCTTCCAGCAGAAACCTGTGCTTTACCAAGGAGCTGTTTGAGGTGGTCCATGGCATAATCTGTTTCATACAAAAACTGTCAGTTTTGAAGTTCCTGGTTCAAACCCTTTGTAGGCATATTCAATTGAATCAATACTCAAGAGCAGGTCATAAGGCCTGCATTTCATTGGTAAACGTCCTGCTATAGAAATATATGTACTTCTATGACATACCCCCTGTGCAGAACTCGACCACCTGGCTCCATTCAGACACCAGGTACTCTCCGTCTGCCTGTCTCACTGCAGTCTGCACAGCAACACAGTACTCTGTCCGCGGGCTCAGGAACCAATGACCTCTCACTGCCATGGGTAAAGGCACTGCCTTGGCCACCAGTTTGGTGGGCACATCCTGATGGGTGAAACAGGGATACATGTTAATTCAAGTGACTCATTAGTTTAATTACTAGAATACAGCGTTTCATAGGTAAAAATAGGATTTGCAGTAGGTCTAAATGTTTATTATGTAAACACACTAATGGATTATACATTTCTTCAGCATATTCTGGTACAAACTGGTCTAGCTAAACTACTGTATATCTAACCAAATTAGTGGCTTTGTTTTGGCCAGGGGTGTTACAGGAGTGGGTCGCAGTTCCGGAGCGACCCACTAGGTGTCATCCTCCGACAACCTTAGGCACCTCCTCACTCACAGTTGGGACTAATTATCTGCCTATTGGTGTCACCTGTGGCTATCTGATTCACCTGTGTATTTATGCCCTCACTTCCCTGTGTTCCCTACTCAGTTTTCTCTGCTAGTTCCTTGATGGCAAGCAGTACGTTTCAGTGTCGGATCACGTGACGGAGTTACAGGTACTCGAGAAGTGTTCTCCCTGTGTCATGGTGTTTTTCCAGTCAGAGTTAGTATTTCGTATTGTTTGCCGTCAGCCTGTTTTTTGGAGACCTATGTGCTCCTCATTTGTTTTCGTGTATAGTCTGTTGTTTTGTATCCTGGTTTTTGGACCACCTGTAAAGATCCTTGTTTCACCATCCTTGCCTACTGCCTACTGTCTATCCTGCACCACACCTGGGTCACACCTCACACCAACCCTTACACCAGGGCCTCTAAGAAGCAGAGCTAATTAAAATAAGCTCAGAGTGGCCACATATCCATGGCAACCACTCTGGTGCAAGTTTGTTTGTGTTGCTTTGATTTCCGAGTGATAGAAACACGCTTCCAATCAAGTGCAGTACAACCCTGAACTGCTCTGTTCAGTGTACAACATAAGTCAGGAGCTTTTGTAAAGGCATTGGGAGATTATATTAAATAGAGAACCGTACCAAAGTAGGTAATCAAGTATCTAATGTGTGGATAGAGTAGGGTTGATGTAAGTAAGGCTCAGAAACACCCATCAGGAATGACTGAGCATGACATCATTCAAATTCTCCCTCTGTCATAACTTTCTATTTCATGGGTATTACGATAAGAGATAACCTCAGGTAATAGCCAAGGTCCTTCCAACAGTAAGGCAGATTTAATCTGTGGTAGTGCATCATTTCAGTCTGTTTGGAAGGATACCATTGTGAATAACGAATGGTCACTTAATTTTCTATTTAAATCATTCTTGTATTTCAAATACTGATTGCAATTAGCTAGGCCTATATTCTTTGACTCCCAACATCATGCTGAGAGAAAGACAATGAAGAAATAATGGGTAGTATACAGTAAATCAGTTCAGTGACTGGTCTGGAATAAAATCACAGTTCATAGTAAAGAGAACCGAGCTGTAGTCTTTAGGCTTTGTCTGTTTTTTTTGGGTCATTCAAGAGGAAACGAATGTGCCCATGAGTCACTTGGCCCAAAGCTGTTTTGCAGCGCACGATTCTCATTGTCCAGCACTGGAAGTGACTTAAAGGGCACTACCACTGCTCTCTGGGTTGTAACTGCTGCAGTATCAGATACACTTATTACCAGGCTTTTATCTATAGTTATGCATAGACACTGTCTCATGCTAGGCCATCTTGGGTTATATCAAAACATATTACATCACATGTTGTAGTGAAATGTCTATATTGGAGAACAGGGACATGGAGGGATTAGAACACAGGCAGCTGGTAGCATCTTAATTGGGGAGGACGGGCTCATAGTCGTGGCTGGAACGGCGTGAATGGAATGGTAACAAAAACCATCACACACATGGTTACCATGTGTTTGATACCATTCCATTCACTCTATTCCAGCCATTATTATGAGCCGTTCTCCCCAGCCTCCTGTGATGAGAAGTAAAGAACATGGATCTAGACAGTGGGAGTCAGAGTCACGATCGGTGGCAAGAGTAATAGTCATTGAGTCAAGGAGGAAGGCTGGGGGGGCCTGGGGAGGGTTTATGAGGGAGAAAAGCGGTGACAGTCTGTCAGACACACCCTGTGTTTAAAGCGGTTGAGATCCCCGCCCTCCTTGCGGCTCAGGTCTATGAAGAAGTGTGAAGCCCTGGCAGTATCCTCAGGGGTCATGTCCCAGGCGATGCGGAAGGAATCGCAGGTCACCTCACATATCTGGATATTATGGGGGGTGGAAAGGGCTGTCTCCATGGTTGTTAGCTGCTGAACGAGAAGAAAAAGGAGGGTCATGTGATGGGATCAGATTGGAACATTGTATTGAATTGAATTGAATTTATTTAGGGTAACAGACATATACAACAAAATGTACAATGTGGACCCAGAGGATATCACTTGAAAGTATTAATTAAAACGCTTGTTTCCAAAGTGGTCCTCGATGGTAAAACAATAACACATATAATGATTAAAAGGCAAGACAAAATTACAAACAACCATAAATAAAAAAATTATATTGACATCCTAAAAAGTGGCACTATTCACTGGACTTCCCTAACCTTAAAAATCTATCATATGAATTTCACATTTCGACCTTAAAAAACAGTGTTTTCAATGCATATCATCCCTATCATTCAAATAAATATACCTGACCAGCAGTAGGGGGCACAAGGGGCAGTGGAGTGGTTTCTCTTACTTAGACGACCTTGTCCAAATGAAAACCTTTGCCTGCTTTTTGAAGCTATTTCTACTTTTACTTTGCTTGATCTCCAAATGGAGGCTACTCCATAAACAAATGCCTGTATAGTAAATACTTCTAGGTACAGTACTGGCAACCATTTTATATACTAACCTACCGTTCGATAGCTACATTGCAATATTGTCCCATGTCCGATCTCAATTCCTTCCTTGCCAAATTCCTTCCTTTTGCATCATTCTAAATCCATTGTGACTTTTAGTACTAACTCGATGAAACAAGATGTCACACAGCTTGGTTGTATCGACTGTTGGATTAGTTACACTTTGTCAACTCCCTGCTCATGCCTGAGAGAGTGTAGAGGGTTGACACTTATTTCATAATCCACCAACAGCAGTCTCCTGGCAACCAGGCAGATTTGACTCCCGTGTTCACTCCATCCTCTAGCTTCACATCACCTAATTTTCCTCATCTGCAAATCTGAGGAAATGGTCCTACAGTCATAGAGTTTTCCTACTTAGGAAAGTTAAATTACATTTTACTCATAAGTTCTGTTAATCATCGTTGATTTAATTTATTTCCAATGGTCTTCCCGAGCACTATAAAAGCTGAGTAAGCAGGAAGAGTGGAGCTCAGGGAAAAATCTATAGCCGGTTTCATGGCATCTGAAGTGTTGGAATAAATAGAAAAACCGAGACGTAACAACCATAAGGTTATCTATGTTTTTATTTATTTGCCAATAACAGCCAGGGGATCCAGGCTGGTGCACACAGCCTTGAAGACTGGAGAGTGTGTAATCGGGTGGGTCAGCCTATGTGTTTGATTAGCTGTCACCTTCCCCTTTCCTGAATTGATGATGCCATGGATGTGCCTTCCAGGGAAAAAAACAATTGATCTTCCTCTCTGTTCCTGCCTGCTGTGAGTATGAAAGACAGGCAGGGAGGCATCAATTTGTCTACTCTTGCATGTTTTTTTACCAATATTGCTTTATAATACAATATAAGCTATTTTTAATATCCCTCTAATCCTTCATTACCATGCAACCATTTTTTCTCCCCATTTCATAATCCCAAAAGCTTTTGCACAACACAACACATGGCCCGTTTCCCTGATTATAAGCCCAAACACACATAACATATGCTGTAACAGTAAGATGCTCAGCAGTTATGACTGCTAGCAATTAACAGTAAGTAGTACAGCCAGTATCTCTGCTATATTGTTGTGCTGCTGTGTATTAGTGAGAGTGGATGTTACAGTGAGTGGAGTGGTGGCGAGACGGAGTGTGTGGTTTGTGTTTGTGTTAGGTTGGACTGTGTCACACATGGGTGAACATGCTGGGTGGTACTGTACTGCATCTGCGTACTGTATGTGGCCTGGAGAGGTGTTGTGTTCTGGGCCACCTCACAATGGACATGCTTGCAGCGCGGTAGCTCATTAAAGCCACAGAGCTGTGAAACGTCTGAGCTATCTCGTTTACACGGGGCTAGGGGAGCTGGCTGTGCAAACCACACACATTCCCTCCCTGGGTTCCTGTGTTACCCAGCTGCTGCCTGCTTGCTCCTCTCCTCTCCTCACACACACAGGAATTTAGGGCAAAATGAGATTCTCATAGGACAACCATCAAAGGCCTCATAATTTCCAGTCAGGCTTGCACCACTTTCTGACTGAATATGTCTGAACCGAACAATTTCCAAACGCAAGTCCCCCCACATCCATTTAAATAGTCCTCCCTACACTCTTAATTATATGTCAGTATGCTAAAAGTGAGAGAGAATTAATGTCACTGTGAGTCTACTCCAGATCTAATTGCTCATAATCAGCTAATTAGATTTGTAAGAAGAAAGACTATTGAGCTATACATAATCAATTGCATTATGGGGTAAAGCTATTGAATGTGAAAATTCAATTTGGCCTCTGATCTTTGATAGTAACACATTTTCACAGTTTGTCTCACATATTTGTTTGTTATGTGAAGCTTGTAATGTGTTCACAGAGGGAACTGCGAAGGGCATATTACTCATTCTCATTCTCCATGATGTAGAACCACTATACATACATTACACTCTTAGAAAAAAGGGTTCCAAAAGGGTTCTTCAGCTGTCCCCATAGGATAACCCTTTTTGGTTCCAGGTAGAACTCTTTTGGGTTCCATGTAGAACCCATCTGGGAAAGGGTTTCTACATGGAACCAAAAAGGGTTCTCAAAGGGTTCTCCTATGGGACAACCGAAGAACCCTTTTACCACTGTGCTGTGACAGTGTTGTGATGAATGCTGCTGCATACACCGTATAACGAATAGTGTATGCCACAGAAAGCAGCTCAACGCCTGCGAGACATTTTTCTACTAGTGTAGTGGGTATCAGGTGGCAGTAAGACCAGATAAAAGTCCATGTGATGCGTCCTATAAGGGAGGGTCATAAATATGTGACTTCCGGGGTTTTGGGATG